CGCTGCAATTCGCAGGCTGAATTAACAGCAGGGCCCTCGTGCAGCCTGTATTAGAAGTAAGAGATTCACATTGCTCTTAAATCCAATTCCTGCTTAACTCGTTACCCACCTTCCCGTTAACTTTTGTGGCCTTTTTGCCACAGTTTCGCACTGCTGGTACCAGAAACGTGAGAGGCCGCCCCTACCCGCGCAGCCACAGTCCTCGCTGGCACCACAGGTGTTTGCAAAACGCGTAGTACACAAAAACCCTAAAATACACACAAAAAACCTAGCGGCGGGTTACACAGAAAACAGCAACATCCAGCCCAACGTTAACAAGCAGCTCACACGCAGGCTTTGATCTGCGGAGATAAAATAACCTCAGCTGAAGCCTACACCGTAACTACAGGTGTTCAGCAAGCTTTACCTTCTGAAGGGCTTCGGTTCTGAAATGCTGTTTCTCCTATTAAATAATTTCCTCTCAACACATTGATGCTCAAGGCTTTAAAAAGCGCTTTTCACCTCACGTGTGTAACCAGGTAAGCGGCAGCACAGAAACATTTTGTCTGTGCGCAAGCTTGTGGCTTGGCATATCGCTATGCTCTTAAAAAATAAAAGAATATTTCACTTGTTACTGTCAGGTGCCTGGTCAACACACAGGACCCCTTCAGATGCCAGCCTGAAACCCCCTAGGAGAGCATCTCCTGGCCTGCAAGCACCTCTTACCTTCGGACCAAAGGGGCCACACCAGAAACTGCAGCACAAACCAGGGATTCCTGCCACGGCGCACTTGGTCTTACACCATATGCTCAGATTCAGTGGATTTCAGCTACGTTTTGCTCCCCACGCAAAACGCAAGACCGAAGGGGTTAAGCTGCAATAAATTTGTGAATTGCCCAAGAATCAACAAAGGCAACTGAATTCTATCAAACAGCTCATTTGATACCTTCTACGCTTGGAATCTAAAAAGTGGTCAATAAAATGGCAAAACATTAGGCTGCCCTAAAATTCAGAAATTCAAAGTTATTCACATACTGACAACTACCTCCACAGCAGCAAATTTGCAAAAAAACCCCAAAAAAACAAAAACCAAAAACGAACAAACAAACAACAACAAATAAAACCCCACCAACCCCACCAACTCCAAACTAATAACAAACAACAACAAAAAAACCCCACCAACTCCAAACTAATGATTGAAAGGGGAAATAGTAGCTGAAGCTGAAACCAAGAGATGACCATTATTTAGTTAAACAGGTAAATAGGTAGCGATTCCTTCCCAGTCTCTATAAGGAAAAAAGAGAGACTGAAGAAGCTGCCTAATGAGTTTTTCCTCCTCCTACAATAAATGAAAAATTTTAAATAGACACAAGACCAGGACAAATTGCATTCAGATGGCCTCATAAAGACTCCAGAATCTCCACCAACTCCATTTCCAAGCCCCAAACCTACAGAGGTCTTCCTGATGTAAGGACACCAAGCCAATGAGAACTTATTGCTCAGCTCCCAAGGTCAATATGGCATTTGATTTCCCATGTGAATTCTACAGATTCCTATGCAGGCACCTCTGCTCAGCTGAAGAACCTCTTGGTACCAGGTAGATCTCCATCAGTTTTCTCAAGTGTGCTTTTCCTCCCTAGTAGTAAAGTTATTTGCATCCATAATTCAGCTTGGTAAGAATTGCTTTTTAGTTTTTGTGAAAAAGCAGGAACAAGAGGAGAGCTATGTGAGATGTACTTCTAGGGAAATGAAGCGCTATATTCATAGATCTATTTTTGCCAGATGCACAAACAGAACTAAACAAGCAGAGGAAGGATCACACGCACCCTGCTAGGGCTCTCGAAATAACTCGGCAGCATCATGCCGTGCACAAGGGACAGGAGATGCCTTTAGAGGCAGGAAGAAAACCCTGAAAGATCAAAAGAGAAACAAGGAGCTCTCAGGGGCTCCTCTGGGGATACCCTCATTCTCCTTCAGAAGGAGCTGTAATTGCTAAGTCAACCTCCATGGCTTTAATGAGAGACTTATAATGATGCTACCAATATTAATGAAAAGAAAATGAAATTTAAGGGCAGTATCAAGTACCTGGATGCAGGTTAATGCATAGGGCGCACCCCTTACCTGGCTGGGAGTGCTCTGCAAGGAAACACGAGCCATCCTAAAACCATCCTGATATTTGGAGCGGCACCTCTGGCATCTCTTTTCCTGGGATCGGCCGCAGGTGGCTACGCAGCAAAGCTGGGATTGGAGAACCTGGTCTGCGCCTGAAGACCGGCTCCAGGTTCAAAGTGTCCTCGCAGAGCCAAGCGAGGCTGATAACTCAGCACCTGGATGCAATTCCAGGGATGGCACCACCTTAAAGATTTACATGTTTGGAGTAATACCTAGTCTGGAAAACACAGGCTTCCTCTAACTTCCTATCTAAGCTTAAAATAAAAAGGAAAAAAAAAAGATAGGATTAATAAAAGGTTAAAGCCCTCCTTAGCATCCTTTAAGCCATCCTGC